CCTGCAATTCTAACATTTTTACGTAATTTATTCCATTTCAAGCTATAAAAATAGCTGACTAAATGGGTTATTCTTATAAATTATAAAAATATGTTTCTAAGAAAACATATTAATACTTTATATATATGTATACGAGAAGAATTAAAGTTTTTATATTTTTTTATTTTGCTCTTCCTGTCGTCGTTCTTATACTCTAAAATCACTATCAAATCCATGTATAGCATTAATCACTTTTCAGATCGCAAAAAGTCTCTCGGACACAGTCTCTTGCGTAATTTGTTGCGTAACAAGATAATATACTACTAAAAAAGTTAGTTGACGACCATATATAAGTGTATTATATTTAATCATCCATCTTTCGAACAACCTTCGTCTGATCATGTTTATTCTTAGAACTACGAAGAGATTGCTCAAGGTTTTTCTTTAATATTAAAATCGCAAATCACTGAACGTATTCGCTTTGTATCATTATAATCTACTAAAATACAATTATATATTAATTATTTTTACATATATATGTATATGGTTAATTATTTAGAAATATATATTATAAGAGTATTTAAATATTGCAAAAAAAGTACATAACTAAATAATAATAATATTTTAAAGTAACTGCAGATCTAATTAAAATTTGCAATTCGAAATTCCACTCTCAACTATGAATTCTTATACCGTAAATTATTTTACATTTATTTTGAGCTTAAGTTAAAATGTAAAATGGGAAAGTAATTTTCAAGTCCACTGTCTATAGTAACAGTTATGTGAGTTCATAATTCGTACGTGTATAAATTATTACAGATGTAAAAACAGAAGCAGGACTAATTTTTTTGATAAGCTACTCTTCCAGCACGCAATACCGTTGCAATAACGGTGACGATCGATTTTAATGATATCCGAGAATCCTAGCTCGAAAGATTTCCACGCGGTATCGTAACGCAAGATTGCCGCTTTTATCTCCGACGTCCGGCGTCTCGCGGCGAGAGTTGCATAACGAATTTATAGGTAACGAAAGGGTCGGTAACGAGGGAACAAACGACTCCTTGTCTCCGGAGACAAGTCGCGCGGATACGAAACAACCGTTACGGCGATTTAGGTGTCGAAAGTCGAACGGCGTTTCCAACGTCGACCGGAGACGGCGGCAATTCATATCCCCAGCGGCGGCGGCAGCGGCGGCCCCGTCGCAACAAGAAACGTAGTAATCCTTGAACCACGCCGCCGTGATGCCTCTAATCACTGTTTATGGCATTTCTAATGACAACGCCGCGTGACCAATAAACCGTGTCATGACCTCTCGTGACACACGTCCACGGAATTGCAATCCGCACCGCCGATTGAACTGGCTCGCGCACGTTCGCGGTTGATTAAGCCATTCGTCGCGCAATCTAAGTTATAATAAATGGTGCTAAATGATTAAATCTGGTAGATAACGAAAAGATTAGTCACTTAAGTGCTAAGAAGTTTCTTCACAATTTTTAAAATATATTACGATGATTCTTTGAATTATATGCAAATAAATTTTTTTTGTATCTCTTGTAAACGAGTTGAAAAATATTGTTATTCATAGATCAATTTAAATAATTGATAGTAATTTTCCTATTAACATAACTGTTAAAAAATTGTAATCTCATTCGGTATCGTAAAAAATCAAATATACAGAATTCATAGATATAATTGCGCCAGTTGAGTTCACTTCAGTATAGTGAATAGTTAAATAAGATACACGAGTGTCGGGCGCGGCATTGGTCTGTACGAAATATTGGCGAGTCCAATTCATGTCAAACGCTAATCACGAAGATATGTACCCGTAGCAATAAAATTTTTATTGGGCGATTGTATTTTGATTGCGCGCCATGAATCTAAGCAAATCGGGCTCGCTCGGGAACGATCGAACAGCGATTCACGTCAATGTGCGAGCCGTCGGCGATTAAGAATTATGTGAACCGTGTCCCCCGTTAATTTTCGTGGACCGTCCCGCGAAGCAGATGGTAATTTATGCCGGGAATGGAAATTTAAACGGGACGTTGTCTCGTATACACCACACGCGATACAATTAGCTCTCTCGGCGAGAGAGTTGCGAAAGAGGATAAGGATCAACTTTGTCCCATGGCTACTCATCAACTCTGGAAAATAATGAGTCCCGTTTAATTAATATGCTCCGACTTTAATCGGCGAATCTCGGCATAGGTAATTAGGCACTAATTGTATCATGAATCATGATTCTGTCATCAAGCAAACAGATTTTGACATTTTGAAAGCGATCAATATATCTCAAACTCTCGTTAAAATGACACATTAAAAAAAATAACAAACTTTTCAAAATTAAATTAAAAATTAAATTATTTCAATAAATTTTACGTTTTCCTCCGAAAATTGAAAATATATTTTTTCACTGAGCACTGTTAAATCTATGTGCTGAACGCTAATGTGCATAAAAAACTCAATTTGAGTCGCCACTGCTCCTACTTAATATATCATCATTTTTAACTAAAACACTGGAGTTTAAAACAGTTTAAAACAATGAAGTTGAACAAATATTTGAGTTAAATTTAAACTGTTTTAAACTGTTGCAAGCTCCAGTGTTTATTTAAGCATTTTAGTTAAAAATGATGGTATATTAAGTAGAAGAAGTGACTCAAATTGGGTTAAATTTGACACTTATGGATTTAACAGTGAAGTATTTACTTTTTACTCACATATCTCGCATGTTAACTAATGAGATTCATTTTGAATACATTGCTGCTAATTTCAGTTCTTCGAGTGTGCGACATAAGTTTTTCATTTGTCCTGTATTATCAACACGATGCAATTTACGAGAAAGATACATGACTACAATTGATTACACACGGTTGTCGTAAATCAGGCGGGTTATTATTTTACGATGAGCGCAATTTTGTTGGGATTATTGGTAGTAAATCGCGCTGGCGACGTACGACTCTCGAGAGACGGAATGTTAATGCTCGTATAATTATGATAACTTGTACCATGATTCTATGTTCCCTTATCTTCACAAGTTATTTTCCATTTTATGATTTACACGAGGAAAACACGCATAGAAGAGGTGTCATTCTTGCAAGTATTCAAATAACACCTGTTACCGTCAAAATGTAACAATAAATCAATTTTATTTATTACTTCCCTTCTGTCCTACAATATGTCTCCGGGATATTAACTGTTATGCTTAAAGTATAATAATAACTGCACTAGCAGCGTCCCCAATTTTCGATAAGTCTTTAATATAAATTAAAGAGAAATTAACAATCTTTATTTATTAAATAATTGGATACTCGAAGAAATTGTTGTTTATTCATGTATGTACCGGATATGCAAAGTATCCAGTATAACTAAACGTGTGATCGCATGAGTATTTATTAGCTTTTCTCTTCAACTCTGAAAAAAATCTTCCTCATCAACCTCAAGGGAGGCTTAAGCTTTCTCTAAAGTATACCTTTGATGGCAATCCATTCGTCGAGGCACGCTTGATTGATTTTATAAATCCTCCGGAATGACCAATGAAGGTTCTCTCCGTCCTACATGTATACGCGAAGGGTTCTTTAATATCTCGCACGCTCATACCTTACGCAAGATTAGGCCGCATAAAATTAGGATAAGACTGGAATGCATTCATCTCGATGACGCAGTCCTCTTCATTTACGATGTATGGCAAATATTGCGTACAGTGTATTCCATCTTAATTAAATTAATTTTTAGTGAAATTTTTTACAATATATTTTAAATTTAATTCTTTTCACAAATTTTAACGTATCATCTTTAGCAACTTCTCAATTTCTAATATTTCTGTGATCAACTCTCAAATTAAAATTCTATATATACAACTTAAATCGGATAAAAAAAAAATAATTACATTGTCTTTACATTTTTCAAATTCAGTTTGTAAAATATCTTTAATTTTCAGTTATTTGTAATTAGAAACTACTGATTTTTCTTGATATTTTTGTTATAGAAAATTTTTAATTTAATTAAGAAATCATAATCGAAATTGAAATCTGTTCTGATAATAATAAGAACATTGTATGTATAAAAATTTGTGTGATAAAAATGGGACATAGAATTTTACTAATTATATATTTGACGCAAGATATTTCTTAATTACGCGCGTTTCTGAATGCTTTATATATTATTTTATATAATCATAAGCTTCTCATTCAAATATAAACTGAAATATTCCTGAATACTCCTAATTTCGACAATATATTTTAGCGATTTGATCTTAAATGCTTTAAAAATTACACGTGAATTCGAAAAATCAATTCTTTAATTTCTATAATTAATTAATCCAAAAATTTCGCTTATTTTCAATTTGCCGATAATATCGGGTGCACTTCCATCGCATTAGTATACTCCTCGTGTCTCGCTCGTGGGAATGAACCGCTTTTATCCCGCGTAAGATCTTTCGTTTATCGAGTTGCAGCCAATGGCCAAGGTCCTTTTATAGGCGCCATGTAAAGTCCGCGCTTTATCTTAATTTCAGGTAGCGGATCGTCACGCCTGTTTGGCTATCTCCATCATTTTCCGGGTCGCCTATCTGCGTTGTTTCTTAATAGAATGAGCATATCTCGAAGGTGCGGTACAGCATAACGAGATACGCTGCAGTCGACAGTAAATTCGAACAGTATGCACTAATGCGAGCGGGTTGACGCGAATGGTTCTGACACGATCAACTTGATTAAAGCTCTCTTTTATCCAACCTTCACTTTTTTGCTTTGAGTGAAATTTTCTCCAATAATTAGTCATACATTTATATCATATATCCTAAATTACAATGAATTTTTTCCGATTTCCGGTCAGAAGCTAAAAAAGAATAATGTGCAGACATTCAATAATAAATAAATAAATTCTATAAATGAATTTCTATGTAACGGATACGAAAATAATACCTATATATAACGAAATAAAAACACAATTTCATTAAACAGTTTATTTTCTTTCGAAAATCCATTTTGATTCCGTTAACTAACTATAGCCCGTTTATTGCGTTACAGCGTGTGACTGCCATCCGATCGGAGCTTCTGGAAAGACCTGTAACCAGAGCAGCGGCCAGTGTCCCTGCAAAGACGGCGTAACCGGTATTACTTGCAACAGATGCGCCAGGGGCTACCAACAGAGCAGATCGCATATTGCGCCTTGCATCAGTAAGTACACGCCCACGCGTGCGTTCACCGTGCTTGATACCCGGTTTCATTGCCGCGTTTATCTTTTATTTCGATTTCGTTTCCGCCGGGCGCTCGTCACCCCCCTCGAGCCAAGCTCGTTTTGTGCGAGCTACGCCAAGCATGTCGGTTCAACGAGGAAGATAGGTATTCCGGACACAGAAAATAAGAGAAATTCTTTCCTGTAAGATGATATTATAATACATTTAGATAAATTTTGAGAAACTAGTCGCTCAAAAAAAAAGAAAGAACATTGTAGAGAAAGCGGATTTCCTGCGGTTACATTTCTTAAGAACGTCTGAACTCTTTCGCAGTTTTTCAGAAGTAATGCTTTGAAGCGGATTCAGTGCGCTAAAAAAATTTACCCGCGAATTCGAAATATGAATTATCCGATAAAATTCAAGAATGAAAGAAAAAAAATATCAAAAATCTTTTCCTGTCAATTCGATTTATCGTTATATCCGCCGTGTATAACACGCCACGATACAAAAACGCGCAATGTTGCTTGACCAGAAAGAGAGTGCAAAAAGTCTCTCTCACCAAGCCGATTTCACGTTCGATCTCTTTAGCCTGCTACCAGGGTGGCGGCGAGAAGATCGGACGAAAAAAAAAAACAAAGAAGACACCGGAGCTGCTCGACCACACCCGTACTGCCCTCGTGAATGATCGATCGATCGATCGGGGGGAACACGCGACGATCTCGACGCCGGATCTCCTCGCGCTTGTCCAATTAGGCGAAATTTGCGAAAACGTGTGTGCGACCATCGGGCTCGCGGGGCCCACCCTCCGCTTCCACCGTTGCAGACGGCTTTTAGTTTCAAATCGAGTTTTAATCAAGAACGAGTGTTCGTGTCACGAAAAATTACATCGTTGCCCGCCTCTGAGTATCACAGAGACATAGCGCTCGCGAATTTTGTCATGCATAAAAGGCTCGCTAAGGCAGTGTAATAAATATATAGGACGAACAGAAAGAATGTCGTCGCACGGTTGTTTGTGCTTCGAGCAGTGCACTCAGATTTACTTCGTGACGCACGCGTTAATTCACAATCAGATTAAAAAATATCAAACAAATATAAAATGTGATAAGCATTTCTATTTTTGAATATGTAAAGAAAGCCACTGAAGATAACGTTCTTAAGGTTTCAAGGTTCTGTTTGTTAATGATTTCCATATTTCCGAGAAGGCCCAGAAAATGGATATTTTTCAATCTCTGTGTGAGAGAGAAATAATTATCGATCCGAGCGCGAAGTTCTTAGCGTGAACACCTGCGGGATTAACTCAGCCTTCCATCCAGGCTCGTTCCTCTCATTTATCTCGTATTCTCGCAGAGATACCCAGGGTCGTGCAGACGCAGGGCACGGCTGGCGAGGAGAGCGGCGAGCACGAGGATGACGACGACGAGCGCGGATACGACGGACGAGCTGGTAAGTAAGTGCAAAGTAAACTCGAAGGTGCGTATACACTGTGCAAATGAACAACGAACTGCGAACGCGAATCTACAGACGTTCGTGTTCATTTGTTCAGGCGTTCTCGCTCGAATTGACACCGTGCTTTCGAATTACATTTGTTGCCTACATCTACGGGTTCTATAAAAATGGGATACTATATATCGGTGGGGGATGATTCATTTATAAACATTAATTTATTCATAATTACTAATTAATTATATCGCACAAAGTAAGAGATATTATTCTTTCAAAGAAATACTTTTTGCAGAATAATTTTTCTTATAATTTTTCATGAATTTCGAATAACAGAATTTTCTCTGAAGGATATAATGTTAAATATATTGTGTTAATTCATTGAAACTTTTAACGTCTGTTATCCCAAGCTTTAACTGTAACAACTCGTTTTTTGGCTCGTTGTACATTTATTCAGTGTATATATACGCACTTTCACACGCGATTATATTTTGCTTGCTTTGCGTTTAACTGTGCTTATACGGCCGAACTACTTGACATTCTGAGCGTTACGCTACAACGCCGCGTCGAACTCTCTGCTGGTGACACACTGGGCGACGTAAAAATGACTGGCGAACGATGGAACGTAAGAAGATAAGATAGATGGGTGGGAATGGAAGAAGGGAGAGAAGGAGGAATAACATCTCGAGCCTCGAGAGGCAAGCGATGTTAGCGTAGGTCGGTATTCTAATGCCATGTATTCAGCACTAAATGTCCCTGTCTGATTCTAAGTTACATTTGTCTTGTACGATGATTTAATATGAACGCGAGTTGAGAGTCAAGCAGCTGCACTTAGCGTTTGTAAAAATAAGACAGATATGAATACAATGATCTCCCCAAGTGATTTGTGATAGTATCACAAGTCTATTGCGATATTGAAATGATATTGGAAAAAAAATGCTATTTCGATAAATTAGATAAAGAAAGTACGTACTGCGATATCACGACATTTTAAAATCAATTCGCGTAAATTTTTCAAGATAAATACGAAAGATAAATTTATACTTTGCGCAATTTGGAATTATTATAAATAATTAATAAACTGTGAGTTTATTAATTATTTTTTACTTTGAAATCTGCACTGCTAATGGTACTGCTAGTGGTACTCTTCAAATATAATCCACGCTTTTCATTGCATTACTTTACGTACTTTATATTTACATTATTTTCTTTTTCATTTTAGGAATTAAATATTACTCTTCGAAAACGTGAACAAACTGAAAAGCAAATATAATGTCATATAAAATTCTATGAAAATTTATGCTGTACTATCAAAAATATCTGTAAAAATATAAGTAAAACAATTTTATTGATAAGAAAATAAATCTCTTTCTACCATATTTTTAGATTATCTTTTGAAGAAGCGCATTAATATCGGAATATATATGTTAAGAAGAAGAGAGAGTTTTTAACATTATACAGTAATACGTTCCAAAGAAATCATCACTCAAAATATTTGGAATTTGTCTCTGAAATTTGAATTTGTAATAAGAAACTGCTCAACTTTTGACACGTATTACTTACGCGAGCGAGGAGACTCTGGTACGAAGCTGAGTCTGCGCGCGATCACGTTATTATTTCCGCAAATTTAACGAGGGATCAGGGTGGAAGGAAGTCGATCTGGATACGAGCTTCGTCGCCACGTGGTAGAACGGAATGCGGGGCGCTATATTAATTTAAGCAGACAGAGCAGAGAGAGAGAGAGCGCGAGCGAGAAGGAGAAAGAGGGTTGGAACGTCTAGCCGCTCGGTCGCAGCCTCTCAGCCACCCCTAATGGCTTAATTAAAACTACCCTCGCTTGCGGCTCGCCCGTTTACTCCGGCATTTTCACTCGCGTAGACGATGCGCGATTTTCACGGCGAGCTCTTAGCCGCGCTCGGGCAAGTGAGCGAATCCTCTACTTGAGACGTCAATGCATCTCGATAAATTTTAGCTTTTAAATGCCTGCGATATTTTCTCAAATATCGTATAGAAGAAGCGAAACGACAGAATCCGACAAAATTCACTAAATTTCATATCAATATGTAAAATTGTGAAAAATGGATTAATTTAAAGTTTCAGTGTGAAATATATGTATCACCAATATATGTTACAGAAACTTTAAACATTCCATTTTCCAAATTTTATATAACAAATTATTTTCGCAATGCAAATATATTATTATTATTATGCGATGGCGCTACAGCTCATATCGAGCCAGGATCTACACCACTCTCTTCATTATGCCTGTGGTGCGCACGCTAATTGTACAGGCATATGGGATCTACAACTTAAAGCCGATTCCGAACGGCAGTTTTTGAGAGCGGTTTTCGCGGCAATTGCCGCTATGGATACTCTCGGTGGTTTTCCTCCAGAGAGGAGACGTGAGTGTATGAAAATTTGTTATGGATCTACCAAGAATCGAATTCGGGATCTTTGGCACAACAGACCAGTGCGCTGCCATGCTCGCGCTTATTATTATTATATTATTTTGTTATGTAAAACTTACATTTGCAAGCTTTTTATTTAAAAAAATAATATTACAAATTTGTATTGTGAAAATAAGTTGCTTTAAAGCATAAAAATATTATGCTGCATATCTAATTAATAGATACCTAACTTTATTTATACAGTTAAAAATATAGAACTAGATAAAGCTAAAAATTTATTATAACGATAAATTCTGTTTAAATAGTATGAGAAATCTACGTTACTCGGAATGAGATGTTTAAAAAATAAGATACGTAGACAAGGAAAAATTAAACATTAGATTAAACATTAATTGTCGCCGATGTACACTAATGTAATTACTGCGCTGGAACTTTAACGAGAAAGCTTAATCTCCTAATTTAGTGTCGTTCTCATCTGACACTGTCTTAAAGACGTTGCAGGGAGAATATCTTTCGATCTTATGTAGAAAAACGGTTTCTTTCTACGCTAAAATCTGGTTTAATCTACATGCAAATTGGTTTCTTATGTCACTGATTACAGCTCTGAGATAAAAATATAGAGATAGCATCATTCAATGTACCTGATCAAAATATTAAAAATTGTTCAGTATAACATAAATTTTCTCAAGCTAACTATTCTGTATTATTCCCAGATTATTAAAAAATTTTATTTGCAATTTTATAAATATATTTATAATTTGCGAATTGCTTTTATCTTCTTTAAATATCTCTTATAATTTTTCTTATACTTCATAATTGTATTAAATTTGTCGTCCAGAAATATTTCAGTACTGCATTCTCACTTTAGTGTCGCGATTACCCAATACTGATATCGCAGCCATTGCGACAAAAATCAGGATAAACAGGCTTTCACTCGGCAACGCTGTTACAATAATCAGATAAGATGTTGACTTTAAACTTGTAAAACTGTACTGACAATGCGTCTCACGTTGACGGCGGATTGAGCGATTTTTCGAGGTTGAAAACTGACGGCGTGAAAAGCGAGAGCTCTCTCGTAGCCTGTCGTCCCTCTCCGAGCTCTCTCGTTGCATCGAATGCACGCGTCTCTACCCACGCGCACTCCATATGCAGAGCGTAGATTACGTCTCGACGCTCCCTGCATTTCGAATGCGAGTGAAATATCGACGCGCGAAGAGGAGTATCGCCATCGAGTTTGCACCTGGGAGCCAAATACACCCCGCGGACGGTATGATACTAATTATCAGACATTGCGATCGCCGAGGAAATGATTCTTGTTTAATCAATCTTACGGTCTTCGAACTGAAGATAAAAGTGCTTGATACAATTGAGAATTTATATAAAACGACAATTCGACTCTTCAGCGCGAAGAAATGTTTTGAAATATAATTCTCATATATGTATGTATATCTCCCACTTCTAAGATCTGAATTTACAGAAGATTACAGACGTTGAATAAGATACTTTTATAATTCGCGAGAAGTTTTTTATTCTCAACGTTGTATTATTGGCAAGCTGGTAAAATCTGCAAACGACGCTATATGCGCTGACTTTTTGCTAATTCCGTAACATTCGTAACTCTTGTCAGCTAACTGATTTACATATTGGGGCGGAATTATCGCGCTCCGCGGATTTCGATTTTGTTCGCGCCCGATTTTTGGTATCGCGTCCGTGTTTCTTTACGAGACGCATAGAAGTTTCACCGCCTACGCGGCGCGCAGTAATTCCGCTTGTAGATTACGCGGCGACGTCACCTACTCCGCTCGCGCAGGAGTGAAATATCGATACGCGGTAAGGCAAGTAGTATCGTAATCGAATTTACACCTGGCGAGTGTCGCGCCGAGTGGCACCGTCGCTGTAAATTCTTGCAAGGAAACTGCCGCAGGAACGGCCTGCGTAAATTATCTACCGTAATAGGCCTCCTGGAAATGCTCTCTTCTCTCGCAGTCTCTCCTCCTCCCTCCGCGAAATCACGATCGCGGCCTCTGCGTCTCGATAATGTCGCGATAAGCCGCCGCAAGTCAACGTACTTGTATAGCGGGTGTCTCGGACACGGATAACGCAAGAACGGATAAGTAAGAAAATGATGGCCATTTTAACGGAAGGAACTTCGATATCCACCCAGATATTCGCAGATTAACGTAATTGGTCCACGTATCTTGAATCGACACATATTTTTCAATTTAATATTATAATATTTGAAGTAAAGTTAATTTTAATAGAAATTAAAGTTAATTTTAATAGAAAGTAAAATTAATTTTAATAGAAATTTAATTTTTGGCTCAATTGCCAAATTATTAAATATTTTATATAGAAAAGAAAAAAAGATATAACGGAAAATAATATCAAGTTGGGTTTTTGCTAAGAAAAAATAAAACTTATCAAATTCTTTTAACGGCTAAGGGAATTATCCGTGAAATCTGGGACATTCCGTATAATGAGCTGATTTTAGATAAAATCGCGTTGGTTAGCAAAGTGTTAAAAAACGCCGAGCCGAACCGGTATCAGCCGACTTACGCTTATTATATCCGTTTGTATCTCAAAGAAACGAACGAT